GGGTCAGTTGGGCAATGTCTGAGAAAAAGAGCACCATGACACAATTCACTTGCCAAATATTTGGAAATTGTATGCTGTACTGATGGGCATTTGCCCCAGAAGCTCCAATGCATACATTTCTGTGTCAATCTGAGGACAGTGCAGAGGATTCAGAAAGAGTTAGATGAGTCTAATGGTGATTACAAAGGGATATCATCTCAGAAAACTCATTCTGATAGGAAAAGAACTCCCGAATTTGTTAGTGAGGGCCTCAGACTCAACACAGAAGCCTACATCTACAACCACATTGCCTCTTACATCCCCCTTGATTATTATGTGTGAGGTGCAATTGAGTGAGAAAGCCACAAAACTCCTTGTAACACCAAAGATAACCTGAAGGCAAAGGTTATAGCAGTATTCACCAACTTAAATGAGGAGACTGCCCAGAAGAGTTGCAGGAGATTCCAGTTATCTGGAGGCCATGGTTGAAGCCAATAGCAATTTTTTTTTTTTTTTTTTTTTTCCCTTTTATTGAATATATTTACTCTTTAGTATTAAACATATTTTTGTGTAATTTTGGGAAATACATCTATTAAAATGAAATGTCAGTGTTATTTTCATTTTTGCATAATTTAGATGGCAATTTACCTATCACACCTTTTATGTTTGTGTGTTTTTTGTTTTTTTAAGAAAAAAATAGACCAGGTTGGCAGAAAGAAACTTGACTTACAACTTATGTTGGTATCTAAAGAATTATGGGGAGTGCCCAATTATTTAGGTCGCTTCTCTAAGGTACATTCCACTTTGTGCATGACTTTTAATTATTTATTTTCATTAATAGTAGATACTAATATTTTGTGGTCATTGGAGAGTTATTTAGTTAACCAGCAAATACTTGTTATTGGACAAAAGAATTGCTATTTTCATTACTAGTTTTAGTGTTTTACATTTTGCTATATTGCTTTTACATAATAGCTTTATGTAATAGAAGTGACAGTGACTTACCAGGAGCAAAGCGAATTCGCTGCCTCGCGTGTCAAGCCATTCTCTGAGAGTCGGTCGCGCGTGCGTACGCCTACTGCCATTTTTATGCAGCAGACTTATTTGCATAAGAGAACCACGCTACCGATTAAAAACCCGGCGAGTGGACGTGGGAGGCCACTGCCCTTCTAGGCTTCGGCGAGACTAGACGTATTGCTGACAGAAAGTGACAGCAATTTCTGGACATCTGACACTTTATCCTTTGGAAATATGTTTATTAAAGAAACTAAGATTTAAATGCCAACTTATATAAACTAAATTTGAAGTAATTTATATTACTGAAAGTGTAGGGACATTTGACATCCCTCTATCTTCCATGGGACTGTCATGTGTATCTTGAGAATACCTGTTGGCTGGCATTTCCACTAACGCAATGTAGTGTGATGAACATTGGTCTGAAATTATCGTGACCAGAGATATCTGGCTAGAATTGTAACAAATCACATTCAATGCAGAAGATACCAAATGCATATTCATTGTCAGTTAAGCATTTTCTAGTTTCTTTGTGTCCTTGTTAACATCAGACAGTGCTTCATTTGAGCACACACTTGGTCACTCATTAAGCCATGAAAGACTGGCAAAATAAGGTAGGGTCTAATGACTCAGTTTCCGTTGTTTATGGGTGGTATAGACCCCATGAAGCCATGAGCCCTGGTTATCAACAAGGTACTATGCAGACTATTGGTTTCATAATGATGTAGGTTATGATCATATGGTATGGGTTGGGCTCTTGTGACCATATGCACCCAAACATGGACTCCATATGTCCCAACAAAGATTGGTTATTTCAGCAAGATAATGAACCATGACATTGAACCCAAATTTCCCAGAATTAGTTTGAGGGGCATTCTGGAGACTTTCAGTGCCTAGTGTAACCATTACATGAACCCAATTAAGATGTGGTGGAGAGGTCTATTTGAGTGCCAGTTTTGCACCCAACAAATATAATGGAGCTGTGAACAGATACCAAGATGGCATGGTTCAATATCTCTACCACTTGTGGAATTAGTCCAATACTGAGTTGCTAAGCTAGAGGTAGTTTTACATAATAGTAGGCACCATGACATCTGGCTTGTAAATGTATTTATTATATGGAAAAATACCATCTTTGAAAGTTTAAAGAACTGTTAGAAAGGTCCCACGTTGTCTTTCCTCAAATAATGTCAAAACAAAACTTTTGTCAAAAATATAAAATTGTCAATTATTGATTTCTGTTTGCAGGTGTTTGTTTATCATAAATGGAACAGTATATCATAGTGAGTTTTTTTTTTCTTTTTTTTTTTTTTTTGTTAGAACAAATTTGCTATTTAATAATAATGCAAGAGGTGATTGCATTCATGTTCACTTCAATAAGAATGAAACAATTTTGTATGTTTATATTTGTTCTAAAAACTGTTTTCTTGACATTGTCTATAATGAATAAAATTTGCAAAATATTGACCTTCAAAACTTGCTCATACCCAATTAAATCTATTAATACAAAAGGATATTAATAAAACTAATGCCATTCTAGTCTGTTTATAGTCTCTTGACATAGTTTGTGTGACCTTACACACAGTTTATATGGTTGAATGCTTTTAGGATAGCTTTGTGCACACTCTTTGCTGCTTCACTGTGAAGCTGTTTTGCCATAATATTACAGGAAAATTGGTGTGTATTAATAGCTAACAGGATACTCTTTGTTGTGAATTTGGTTTCACATTTTTTGTTTAATGGTTGGTGAGAAATTTTAGTTTAAATGTTACTGTAAGTTTTGCTTTCCTCTACCCTTTGCGTGCGCAGACACATATATATATATATATATATATATATATATATATATATATATATATATATATATTATTTTCTTATACAAAATAAAAGTATCATTATTTCCTGTGTATCATTATATGCTAAAATTACTAATCTTTTCATTTCTTTCTTTTCCTCTCCCATCATTTATACAAATTATTACATGAAACAATTTTTCTAAATTATGAACATATATTAATGAGCCAAAACATTATGATGACCTGCCTAATAACATATTGATTCTCCATGTATCCACAAAACAGTTCTTACCTGATCAGACCTGGACCATTACAAGATCTTTAAAATTTTCCTCTGGGATCTGGTGCCAGGATATTAAGAGCATGTCATTTATTCGCTGCAAATTACATGCTTGAAGTTCTGCAGAGGAAAATTGTTTCAACCAATTCCATAAGTGATCAATGAGATTGAGATTTGGAGTTTGGTGGCCAAGTTAACATTGTGAAATTGTCATATTCTTGAACCCATTCCAGTACATTATGGCAAGGCACATTGAATTGATGCAAGATGTCACTGCCAATGTAGCAGATTACTGCTATGGAGGAATGTCTTCAATGATGTTGCATGACAAACATGAATAATAAGACTGTGTTTCCTAGAAGAATGTTGTTCAAGCCATCACACTGTTCCCACTGGCCTGTTTCCCCTTAATTCATCCTGGTGTCATTGCTTTCCTAGGATAATGATGCTTGTGTACCCTGCTATCCACCTTATTCAGTAGAAAGTGAGATTCATTGGACAAAGCAACTTTTTTCTTAACACAATGCTCACATGCCTATTGATGATACTTTTTTCCTTGAGTACATATGGCCCAGTGGATAAGTGTTGGCTGGATCCAGTGACTTGACCCAAAGAGTTATGAGTTCAATACCTGGCTACGGCAATGGTGAACAAAAACTTGGAGAGATAAGACATCCGGAAGAGGCATGGCATGCGGAACTAGAACGATTTTCCTTGGTGGATGAAATAAAGGGTTCAGTTAAATTCCAATCACCTGAAGAAGGCCAGATCATATAACAGCTGAAATGTTGTGAATATGACAAAGATGAGGGCAACAGTCCAAACAATGTAAATTATTGCGATACCTCATCTCATAAATATAGAAAATTATAAAATTGTTGTAATTGCCAATAGTAAATAGTTATACAGAATGTCCTTGTGGTTTAAATTCATTTTCAGATATCTAGTTTGACAGATAAATACAGCAACTGCAATGTGGTAGGAAACATATCACAGTATAGCTAGTTGTAACATAGCAGGAACAGATTATGGCTGGTATGGTAGCATTCACAGCTTGTTGGTGTTAGCCAAAGGTAAATGTAACATGACAGTGCAGTCAGTGAAGTGTGCCCAAAAGCCTCGATGCCTCTCTTATCATCTGTTGTATGGCACAATATGATTTGGGATTTTTTTCCTCATTGTGTCAAAGAAACAGTTTGAAATGCTATGCCAATTTAAAAGAAAAAAGGAAAGGGAATTAGGATGACCAGATGCAACAAGGAATTATTTGAAGAAATTACATATGAAGCAAGCTATAACAAAATTGGATGAATAATGCAATAGAAGAACAATATTATTTTCTGATATATATTCCCTTTGTTTTTTCCTAATCACTTCAGTCTGTTTATAGAATTCAAAATTTCTTCAGAGGTAACCAATTTATAAACTGTTGATATTAATTCTCATTCTTGTATAAAATTTTCCATCCATGTTAAGGTGCTTTTGAAAGTTCCTTAAAGATTTTTGATAGTTTACATATTGAGAACATTCAGGCCACTCTATAAATTAGCCTTTTATTAATTAATTTTTAATTTTTATTGTAATTTTTGACTAAGTATTCAACATTTGCAGTAACTGCTAGAGCATTTAACAACTCTGGGATCAGTTGTTTTATAATTATCATTTTATTGACTTTCATCTGATGCTGGAATGCACTACATGTCCACATATCTCTTAAGTTTCTTCAAGTTTGGGACTTGGAAAAGTTTTTAAAGAGGTGTTAATAAACACAGGAGTGACTTTTTATGCTCTACTCTGAGATTTATTACTTAATGTAAAATTTGATACAGTATTTTTAATAAAATATTTTTTTTTTTCTAATTCTGTTCTAGCCCCCTCGGATTGGTGGAGTGAAGGTCTACACTGAACGTGTTAAGAGAGATGAAATATTGATGGATATTGAAATTCTGTAAGTAACTCTTTCTCTTCATATGAAGTAAAGATGTAGTTCATTTTGTAAAAAGAATTTTGTTTGTATTCTTGATAGCTCATAAATATTCCAAATCTGTTACTCTCTTCACAATTAGTTCAGTGAGATGATCCACAAATTTTGAATCAACAATAAAATTCTGCATTAACTTTTATTTGATAAGCTGTACAAATGTTACAATAATTCTGTAAGAAATTCTTCCTAAAAAGATGAGTGGAATGGATAATTGTAGCAACCTTTTCTTAACTCTTCATATTCTGCTTTTTGATTATGTTCATATTTTTTTTCTTATTTGATAAAGATTTCTATATAACACACAGTATATAAATTTGTAAACTGGTATTCTTTGTAGAGATGTAATTCTAAATATTTTGGTAGGATCAATCTACCCTGGTGTGATTACAGTGCGAATAAAATTTTTCATTGGCTACAACAGTTAATGTTATTGTTGGTTGAAATTGATAAAATCTTTCTCTTAAAACAGTTTTTCAGAAAAATAGTTTTTACAAGTCCACTAGTTATTATTACTCTTTCTAGTACTAATGGGTGCTTCCTTTCAAACCTTTTGTTTAAAGTACAATGAAAAGTCAAAATTTTTATTTTCTTTTTGATGTGCAATCCATTTTACTTGTTGATGCTGTTGAAAGTCTTCAAGTGATGTGGTTTCCGTTATTTGGTAAAGTTCTTTGTGATTTTGTAATGCCAGATTTGAAGAAGGATGCTCCTCTCTAAGACGTACAGGGTTCTTTTGCTCAAAGCCATTTCTAATCATTGATTTGAGAAAATGATTTTACACAACTGACAGCTTAGACATTTCTGAACAAGTATATGAGAGGTTAGATCTGACAAGGTTATTTAAGATGAATTGTTATTATGTTAAGTTTAGGTTTTGTAGCATCTTGCAGTGTTGGACAAAACTACCCATAATTAAATTGATTCTCCGTTCAATTTCCTTAGCTAAATTGTTATAACTGATCTATACACCAAGGTATTTGCAGTGTTTTGTAATTATTAATTCCATATTCTGAATTTTTATGATGGATTCTCTGCTTTTATTTCAATTCAAGATCATAATTTGTTTTTGGAAAGGTTTATCTTCAGTCCTACTTGTTTGAACATTTGGTAGAGAATGATTTTTTTGTAGTTGTTGCTCTTCTTATCTCATATTACAACTATGAATACCTATGTCATCAGCATAGCCCTTGTCACCAGGAAACTTGGTAAGGAAAACAAGAACATTGTTTTCTGTTAAGATTCATTTTGGATGTGGTATATAACTTTGTTTCCATACATATAGATAGAAACCTTTTAACCTGCAACTTATTTTTGTCTTGTGCAGCTATAGCAGTGATGCAGATGTGGCCATCAGTATTAAAGGAATCAATGCAGGAATTAAAGACCTTCAGGTGAGTTTTTTTTACATAAAATCTCTTTTCCTGATTTAAAAACCTGTCTACTCACTTTAGCTATAGTTTCTATTTGATTTGATTTGATAATGGAATGTAGCAAAGAGGATAGATCAATATCTTTGCAACACTTTTTGCATATAATTTAAATAAATATGTGGTAAATTTGATTAGTGTTAACAAGCGTTTGATATTGATATAATACATATCCAATACAGTGTATTGTTTGTTTACAAATCTATCAGAAGATGAATTCAGTTAGAAGATATTTTTTTTTTATCTTTCAGTAAAGTTCACCCTGTACAAGTCTTGGGGGCCACTCAGGATAGAGGGTTATGTTTAGGAGGGGAAGATAATGGTTAACTCTAGACAATGAACAGGTTAAGATTGTAGTGATCAGGAAAACATTCTCTTAGGAGTCTGTTCCACAGGGTAGTGGTTTGTGGGAAGAAGCTTTTTGAGTGGAACTTACTTTTCGCCAATGGAATATGTAAGTGACATGGCAGATCCTAGCTGTGATGGTTAAACCTGGCGGAACCAAAGAATGTAGTTTGTCTGAGCACTTTCTATGTAAGTAGCAATAGAGCAGTGAGATTTGCCACATCCTACCTATGACTGAGAGGTTGGTGAATAGAAAATAATTCTTCTCCAACAAGGACTCTGAGATACTTTTGGACATGATCAAGACTGGAAAGTGAGTACTGAGCAGCTCCTGCCCAAATATGGAAATAGTATTCCATTTTTGGCCTGATCTATAGAATTCCTTCTTACTTAATATTATTAATCTTAGTCAGAAGGTGTAAACAAATGCAACAGTTCAAAAGTGCTAGTGATTAGACAAATGTTGCATATTCTGATCTTTTATATAGAAAAGTATAAAGGTCATAAATATAAACAAGCAGAGGATATTATATTCATGTATGTACTTTGCTTTAAGTTTAATTTGTATTAGTTTAAATAATCTTTAAGTACACATATATACCAAATGATTTCAAAGTTTTGACCTTTTTTTTTATATTGTGTATATTTGATATTGTAAACAATTTTTTTCATTCAAAGTGTATGATGTCTATATGGTTCAGTGCCTTGTTAAACTGTTAAAGTACACTGAGCTTTAGTTCATTAAATTACCTGTAATCATACCCACTATCTCAGCAAATGTACATATTTTAATTCAACTACCAATTACCTCAATCAACTAACATTCTTTTGTAACCCTTGCTGGCCTGAAATTCCCTAAATTCCTCTGCGTTTCACCATCTTTTCCCTTGATACTGAATAACAAGGCTATATTTAAATCTAGCATTAAAATTAGTATTACAATTCTTAAATACTTTTTTCTAACCATGAATATTAAACTTTAATCCATTAAGTTAGCACTTCATGTTTGGTAAATGAATATAAAGCTTAACAGCACTCAGATTGTTTAATATTGCTTAAAAAATACAGTAACCTTTTTGTCTGTGTTTCTACCTCAATTGTCAATGTTCATTTTCATTCATGTTTTACTTGTTGATTATATGTTGTGATGCAAAAGATGATTTGCCATCCAAATTTACATTGATGACATTTTCCTGTGGAACCAGATTGTCAGAATATAATTTCCTTTTATCCCAAGAAAATATGTAAACTTTGTTAATTTTTTTATCTGTAGCAGTTGTCATGACTGACATCAAGTAGATATTCATACTTTTTAGTTATGGATTTTATATGCATGTAAATTGATTATTAATGGTAGGCAAAAAAAGAAAATATTTTATATTTATCTACCTAAATACATAGCTGTTTACACATTTTTTTTCTTCAGATTCGTGGTACAATTCGTGTGGTATTTAAACCCCTCATGAATGTGATGCCTCTGTTTGGTGGTCTGAATGTTTTCTTCTTAAACAGCCCAGTAAGTCATTTATTTCTTTCAAATTATATAAGAAATCTTTACTTATATTCTGTAACTGATGACATAGAAAACATGAAGAAAAAAATGTTGGATGGTAGATTGAATGTTACTGGAATTTCATTCATGTTCTTTATCTGGCTTAGTTCAAAAAGAATTTCTTTTCTTACCTTTAAAAAAATATTATGAAATATTGAATATTTATGAGGAGAAAATGTCTTATATGCCATCAGATACAGTATGTATTTTGCTAAGTACTTTACTAACAAAACAAATTACTGATGCTTTTTCATATTTAGAATTAGAATGTTTTTTAAAGCATATATTGGAGAAAGAAAACTGATACCTTTAAGAAGAAAGTGGCAAATCATGATTTTTTTTTTTTTTTTTTTTTTTTTTTTTTTTTAAAAACCTAAATTACTGAGAATCATCAAAATGGTCTGATGGAAAGCTGTGAAAATACACAAATCAAATCTGCACCAGCAGAGTTGAGTCATTTGTTGAAACACATCCTTTAACAATGCTCACTGTTTGGTTTCTGTAAATGTTCAACAAGCTAATGTATGCATTTTTTCCATTAGAAGAATTCAAGAACACACCTTTTGCTTCATAGACACTTTTGTCAGATTCTATTTTGTCAGACTGCAGCTTAACTGCTGTTTGTAATAAGGTACAAGTTATTGTTGAAAAGGTTCAACTTTAATTGCCATACCACTAACATTACCTCTGATAAAATAGGAGGTATTACTTTCTAAATGACCCTCTTATGTATGAGGAGGTGATGAAAAGTTCTCAGGCTGATGAAGAAGTCTTTACAAAAAAGAATTTGATATTTGGTCAGATTTTCAGTATTCACTTCATGTTTGTGAATTTTCAGTTTTTGTTTATGGAATCAATACTTAGCAGTGAATATATTGTTTTTAGCTAAATTGGCTACTTTAGTGATTAATTGCATACATTTTTAGCAACAATGCTACCAATTCAAATCTCAAAGCTATTTAATATAATTATCTCCTATCTTTCAAAGCTTTATGTACATGCAAGCAAATGTGTATTCACACACACACTATTCTATAATCATAATTAAAATAAGTATCGTGTTCAATGGAATATATTACTTTTACTGCATGTATCAAATAATTCCATGTTAAATTTTAAAACAAATAACTGTATGCTTCTCTTCTATTTAGGTGATTGATTTCAACTTAACAAGTTTAGCCAATGCCTTGGATATTCCGGGTCTCAGGTAAGCAACATTAAGTTTTTTTTTACTTTTCAACCTCTGGTATAAAAACAGTCAATTACAAAGATATATCCTTTCTATGCTAGTTAAACTATTCTTAGTTAAATATTATTGCAACTAGTTTAATTAAATGTTAGATATTAAAATACCTTTTTTAAACTATTGGCTTTTCATTTATTTATGTATTTTTATACTGTGACTTTGAACATTTCATGCCAACATAAAATATTAGTGAAAGAAAATACCTGTAGTTTCCCATACATTTTAAAATTTTCTTTTATTACAGTGAGATGTTACGTACCATTGTCCAGGAACAGGTTTCTGCTATTATGGTTCTTCCAAATCGAATCTCTGTAGCCCTGGCTAATAATGTTGATGCTAACAGACTGCGGTATCCCATTCCAAAAGTCAGTATTTTCTTTGAAATTCTCTATGTATTAAATTTTTTTAAAAATACCCACTGTCACTGCCATGTCAGTTATTTAACTACTAGTAATAGTGTTTTTCATAAGATATGGAAAGTAATTGCATTACCATTTTGGATATTAGTCAGATGCTTCTTTAAAACTAGGTTGGATTTTGTGAATGCTTCTAGTTGGGAAATTGGTTAAGGGAAAAATATTGAGCCTGTTGATTTTGGTATTTAAGTTTCCTTTTGAAACACTTCTGTGTAAAAAAGAACAAACATCTCTCTACCGTTTTCTTTATCAATGCAAATTTCTCTTTCCTATTGTAAATACTTATGCTAAATGTTGTAACATATTCCATAAACAGCACTTATATCTGTTCTCTTCACAAGCATATACAATGGAATAAAGTTAACATCCAAAAATTTAATATTTTTTTCTTTCTTGATTATTTGCTAAATCCTTTTCCCTTATGCAGCAATCTTTGTAAATTATTGAGAGTTGCATTGTTGCTACAGAAATTAGAATTTGTATTTATATATGACTGTTAAACTAGATGTAACTATATAAATTTATAGAACATTATTTTTTGCATTTCCATGCAAAATTCTACCCTTGTATATGTAGAATTTTGCATGAAGATGCAAAGAAATATGACAGTATTTAGAATTTACTTATAACCTTTATTTATTGGTCACATCAAGATTAGAACCTTGTACCGCTTGTATGAAGTCGAATAAAACAGTAGAGGTTATGTTTTCTTTTGTGGCAAATCTCTTGCCTGTTCAATAAATTTCATTTGAATCTGCAGTAAACGAGATTGAATCTTAACAAATCCCTAATCTTATCATTTCTGAAAATTAAATTTCATTGTTCATTTTAATATTTTAAAATAGTCAGTGGAACCACCAACAGTCTAACAGGACTACCAGATTACATCTGCCATAGATGCTGTGTCAAGGCACACCCTATTGATGGCAGGCCTACTTTGGACTGTCCAAAAATGGATATTAAGCCATGTTTCTGTTATCTTGGGTGCTCACTGGCTTGGAGGATATTCAAAAACCTCCTACCCATTTTCACATTGAAACACATTTTGTTGAGAACCTGTGGCAAATTGTTTTGTGTGTGTATGATTTGCGCTGCTCCATGGCAATTAGACTTTAACACTAAGTGTGTTAGTCTTGTAGCGGCTCTGCCACAACAACCACTCGATGATTTGTTGGATCTGTGGCACCAAACCACTGTATGAAACACCCTCATCCAAGCTGTTAACAAGGCTTGGTATTAAGGATATAACATCAGTGCTGCACACTCATCATCTTAGATGGTTTGGTCACATCCAGGAGCTCTGTCATGCATTAGAACTGTCTTGGAGTTCAGGGTCGCAGTAGACAGGAAGACATGGGATGACTGCATTGGGAGGGATGTGTGGGAGTATGGCAGCCTTGCCCACATTCATCCGCTTGACATGGATGCTTGAAAGGAGTGAGAGCTAGCCGACTGCTGCCTACCCCAGTCACTGGGAAACCTGCAGCAGTATAATCAAAGCTCAGGATCTTGACTTGATTCCAGTCACTTGATTTTGATATGAATTTTTTTTTTTTTTTTTTTTTTTAATTTAATCTATTTTTAATACAAATCAATAAATCTATACCTTGGCATAGTTATATTCTGTTGTGGTATGCTTGTATAAATAACAGTAGAACAGTATATAAGTATATACTGGTGACCACATTTGATACAATATATGGCTAGTTCCAAATACCAACGATGAAAACTATTCTTTCACAACATTAAGTTTATAATGTTGAAAAATCATTAACATTCCAAAAACTAAGCTGCATTGGTTAAAGCACTATATTTTAACAAATGTTTTTAGTGATTTCAGATGATGGCTGAAATGATAGCTATTCACTCATTTGAAAAAAAATCTTTTCCTTCCCTGCAATTCATACAAAATGAAATATTTTCATCATGGCTCTTTGCACAAAAATATGCCTTTTCAGCATATAAACTAACTTGCCTTTTTCTGGAAATATATATATATATATATATATATATATATATATATATATATATATATAAATATATATATATATATATACTATAAAGTCAAAATTGTAGGAAGAGAATTTCGTGTAGCTTTTAATTTATACTTTGATGCAATTACTTGTCATAATATATATATATATATATATATAATTTATTTATTTTCAGGGAGTATTGAGGATCTACATGCTTGGTGCCAATGATTTGATAAAAGCTGATTTTGGGGTGCTGAAGAAGTCCAAATCTGACCCTTATGCTGTCATCAGAAGTATGTACACAATTTTCTGTTCAATGAAGAAATTAAAAAATAACAATGATTCAAATGTGATAATAGGATATTGAACTGAAAGTAATGTTAATTGCTGTTCCAAATAAGTGAACTTTGTTGACTATTTCTGGCTCACTTCAAGCTGCACTAAGTCAAGTTCAGATTTCAGTTTGTAGAAAAATTTTATTTCTTAATTTCACTTTTTGTTACTCACTAAAAAAAATAAGTTGAAATGTGAAAAATTTTCTTTGGGAATTATTTTATTAGTGTTTATCTTAATCCTTATAAACCGGAATTTGATTGACTAAAAATCTATTTTATTTTACCAAGAGTTACGAGTTTGTTTATAAAATGGTATTTAATTACATAATACCTTAATTGTAATAATTGTAGTTCCTATTCAGACCATAACATTACTGATATATTGATGTAGAATTTTAAAATCACTATTGTATGTGGATTTTTACTGTATGATTAAGAAATGTAAACTGTGAAAGATACTTTAAAAATAAGGAAGAAAAGTTAATAGTTTGTTTTGAACGTGCTGATATTTCACAAAAGCTGAGAACATTAAAAAAATTTTTTTTTTTTTGAGTACTTTAATTTAAAATAGTCATCAAACACTTTTTGACCAAACTATTTAATTACCACTTAAATAATGAAAATGGGTTCATTCATTCAGAAATCACAAGATATCTCTAAGAATATTTCTGCTAATTGCTATTTATTGGCTACATTCTCTGATACTCAACTGCGTTAGATTGTCCAATAAATATTAAATTAAAAAAAATCTTTATCCTACTGCTGAAATTCACTTAGTAAGTTTCTTCAGTTAGTTACGCATTTGATTATATATCCTGAAAAACTAATTTTCTATCATGTCTGAAACCTTCATGATATTTATTGTAATATTTATTTTTTTATTTTTACCAGTTGGTGCTCAAAAATTCAAAACAAAAGTTGAAGCTAATACTGTCACTCCAAACTGGAATGAAGCATTTGAGGTAAGAAATGTGCCGATCTTTCTTGCATACATGTCTGAATTAACAGGATTCCTAGTGTTGAAGATGCTATTCCCTCTCACCTGAAATAAATTTTGAAAATTTATCCTGTGTCTGTAGACAGAAAACTACTTTTTATTTATTGTTTTTTTCAATGTTTTTAATTTTATTTCCAAAATTGGGATGTATCCTTGAGGTTGAACAAAAATTAAGCTGGAACTTTGTACTTGCAGATCTGTTTGATACATAAGATTTTAATTGTGTCATTTTTAAAAGGTTCTAACCATTTTTTTCATGTTCTAATAAAGATTAAAAAAAATAAACATTAAAATATTATTTTGTAATACAGTTTGTCATTTAAAATATTTTCTTTGCAAATTTATTGAAATATTAAATAATGTGTTAGCTATAAAGTATTAATACCACTTTAACATCAGCTTTAGCTTTTGTGAAGTAGAGCAAAAATAAAATGTTATAGACGTTAATTGAAATCACTTAAACCTCTATGCTTTTATAACTTTTTGTTTATTTTTTTTATTTATTTTAGAATTCCAATACTAATGATTGTTTTTATTTGTTACAGGCAATTATTGATGAAAAAAGTGGGCAGTTTATGGATATTGAAGTATTTGATGAAGATCCTGGTAGTAAAGATGATGACCTTGGAAAGTTAGATATCTATTTTCCTTAATTTGAATATACAAAAGTTTTTATGCTTTGATTTTATTTTTTTTTTTTTTTTTTTATCTGGTCTTTCTAATTCCTTATTAAAGTCTTTACCTGTCTTTTGTGTATTTGTTTACATATTTTGAATTTTTTTTTTAATTTATTTTATTTTTTCTCCACCAATATATTTCAGTGTCAGTCTTGAACTAGAACCTGTTTCAAAAAAAGGAATGATAGATTCTGTAAGTTGAATTGAACAAAAATAGTTTTTACTTCTCAATATATTATTTACATATGATTTTTAATTTTCAAACATTTCCATTTGTGAAAAACTTTCCAATCTTCAGCTTTTCAACATTACAGGAAATAATTGTCATCAAATCTTTAAGATTAATTTCTATTGTTTTTGTCAGTTTGGTTATTAGACATGAATAGTTGACATTAAAACATATGTTTGGAAGTTTGATTCTACTTTAAAAAATATTGAAACTTTACTGTAAATAATGAATATTTTTATATTTTTCTTATAGTGGCTGCCTTTGGAAGATGTGAAGAAAGGGATGGTTCATATTAAACTAGTCTGGCTGAACCTTTGCAATGATATCTTGGAGCTTGACCGAGTGAGTGACTTTTCTTTTGGTTTCTTTCTTCCCATGATATCTGCTTTTTCTTTGAATTCCACTATATATAAACTCTGTTATCTAAAAAGACTAGCTAATATAGATGGCAAAATAGTTTCTACCTCTAAGTTGCCTTCTAGAATTATTTTACACTTAATATACAGCTTCTCAAACAAGCACATATGCACACTAAACATTCACTGTCATTTTTATCATCTTACACCTTTCTTAATATATTTTTTTGCAATAACATGTGTATTCAGCACCCACTTGCATTTGAGTATTGTGATCATCATCCTCTCTCCTTATTCCCTTTCTCCCCTCTGGTGGCAGTGACGGAGATGGCTGTGAAAGCCCAGCCTACTTCTGAAAAGTCATGAGCAGGAGTCACAGAGGGTGGTGGACACAGCTGCGCTAGTCAGGCCCTCCTTCATGTTGATAGTTGAACTCGAAAGTTGTGTATGTGTCTGCAGATGCTCCTACAGGAAGGCCAATTTGTAGCAACAGTTTCCCAAAGTCTCAGGGTCAATATTGGCCCATGTCAGGGATATTTTCAACTGATCTCTGAAGTTTTATTTTGGGTCTCTGTGTAGCCTCTTGCCACTGGCAAGTTCTCCAAACAGGATGATACGTGGGAATTGAATGGGATGCATTCTGAACATGTGAAAGATTGTAGCCTCAATGCTGGGGAGAGATGTCAGAAAGAGGATATTATTGTTGATAATGCTATTCTCTCAATTGATGCAAAGGATTCTTTGGAGCTTCATTTGCTGGAACTGTTCTAGATGTTTGATATCCCATCAGTACAAAGTCCAGGCCTCATAAGTGTACAGAAGGGTGGAGAGTGAGTGATGCTATAGAAGTCATAGTAGTTATAATCCAGTTTAACTACTATACAAATTTCAAATGCAGTTTTAACCAATTTTTAATTATGTTCTATTAGCTTGAGGACCCACTAAAGTTAAGACTGTAAAAACTGACTTTTTTTTTCTTAATAGTTGCAAAGATTTATTAGTGGTGAGAATAATTTTAATTTTATAAGTTTTAAATTAAATATTTTGCTGCTTATTAAAATATAATTGAACTTGTAAATTTGTCGGTGAAGACTATAGAAGTTTTCTATTGTACCTATTTACAAAGCCTATTTATTTAGTTCTTTTTAAAATATTTTTGATATCATCTTTGAAGATAAGAATAAATGCTAAATTATGAGAGGTGTTTTACAATTCTTTACATTCAGTAACATTTTAATTGTAAAGTTCAGATTTACAGTTTAGCATAAATATACAGGCTTTATGATTTCCTTTCTTAAATACATAAATTCTAAAATGCCCATTGTCAGACCTTGAGGCAGAAATTAACTATATTTTTAATATGCATATGGGGAGAGATTAATTTAAATGTCAAATATTGATATTTGTGCAGAGAAGGAAACTACCATTTTGTTAGTTTCACTTTTATCTCTTGGCTAAAATACAATTGGATGTGTTTATGGTAACATTTTCCCCAGACACTAGGTGCAATGTTCATTCTCTATCAGATACCAAATTATCATTGTCTATGGTTTTAGAGGTTAGTAATATAGGAAAATTATTTACTCTTTACAAATCCCAAAGTTGAAGATTTTCATATTTTATTTGGCTATTACAGCTATCATTATATGGAATTAAATGTCTTAATGAACATTTTGAGTATTTAATATTTGAAAAATATATATTAAAACAGAACCTGAAAGATTTACTTCTCTATTTCTTTACATGATTAATGAATAAATTCTTTCCTTTTTACAATGTGCTAACAGGTAAACTTCATGACTATTATATGCTTTGCTATTTGAACCAGCAATGCACATCTTGGTTGTTATACTCAGTGTTTCAGTAGCTGTAGATTCTCAGGGTTTATCTTCATAACTTGCTAACATTCATAGAATTTCAGGACAATCTCCTAAACATGAAAAGTAGAACTCATGATGCTTTTGATACTTAGGGGACATTCAGTTAATACTCACTAATTTTATTCTCCATTTGTGTTGCTTGTCTATTTCTTCCACTGAATAAGAACTATCAGGCCCAAGAATTAAACCCACAACCATCAGAGAACTAGATATGTTTTAACCAACCCTTTAATCCACTAAACCATGTGTCTCTTGGACAAACTAGTGATTCAATTTTGGAGGCTTAGATTAAATGTCTATACTTAATGATGATAGAAGGCTTCCAGTTGTATTCATCTCTATATTGGGTCTGAGAAAGTTGTCAATATGTAATATGTGCACCAATTCTTTCAGTCATCTTGTTCTCCAATATTGTTCTATTAACTTGACTTTATTCCACAGAGGTTGATGACCACCATTTTCCCTTCATATATGCCTGCTTTCAATGTCTCTCTTCAGACAACAGCTTTCTCCACTTTTATAGCTGGTTTCCTTGCATTCCTTGCCACAACTGCATACGATTGATACTGGAAAGATATCTCAAAAGAGTTAAACAGCTTTTGAATAGTGTCCTGATGTATAAACTACAAATCTTTTGAATTACTGAGTCAGGACACTTACTACCTCTCACTGGAGGGTACAACAGATGAAATATTAAATATAACTGTCAAGCTGAACATTTGACTCTGAATAGCAAAGAATATAATAATTCCTCATCTCAAAACTGTAGATTATGAAAAAAACCTATCCAATCTTGGGTTCATCTAATTTTGATGGTATCACTTTATGAAGTTTAGTAATTTATTATAATGAAAAAGATGTAAAATATTTTTTTCCATCATTAGGCTATGGAGTTATTGATTTATCACCATAGATGGCCACTCTACTTATAAATTTATTGCTTTCAAATATTTTTCTACACAAGTAATATAGAAAGACAATATTTGCAGCATTGTAGTGATCACTTATGGTACAAGGATTAGTAATTCTGATAGATTGCATGTAAGGAGATTGTAGGATCAGTAGTGCATTTTGAAACATTGGGTATGGGATCTAAGTATTTGAACTAAATAATGAAGAGTATTGTATTTGAAGATTTATCCTAAATATAGTATGGTCATTTGATTTAAAGCTTACAGTAATGCTGCTAAAATGTATGTACTAAAAGGTTCAAACCATTTATCAAAAAAAAAAAAAATTAACAAAAGTTTATATAGTGACTTCCAGACCTGTATTTTTTTTTTCCAATGTGACTAATGGTAAAAACAAGTTATACTACTCAAACTGATAGAAAAAATGGATCTTTTGAATTTTAAGTCAGACTTGGCAATTCTTGGAATAAAATTATCAAGAGTTTCTTAAAGAAACCTAACCATCTTATAGATGCAGAGAACTTGGAGTGGAATCGAGATCAAGGATCTTATTTGTTTGATTTTTCATGACCAGTTTGTATCTTTCAGCTTTTATCAACTGATGAAGTAAGTATCTCAACTGTTTTGATTTTGATTTTTTTTTTCTTTATAGCAATGTCATTTTTTTTCCCCCTTTAAACTGTCTCTGCTGGCTGATGCCATTTTTTTTTTCTTTTTTTAACTGGGGTCAGTCACTAACCGCTGTAGCCAAGATCACTTAGAGTTCTGTTTGTTACATTTTTATTAATGTTTTTGATCAAGTTTCACTTTTCTAAGGAAAAATACAATAAAGATAAATTACTTTTTTTTACAAAAAAATTCAAATGCCTTTGCTCACTGAAAAGGAGTATGGAATTTTGTTAAATCTGTATAATATTATTTTTATAGGCATCAGTCACTCTAGTTTCTTTATAGACGAGTCTAGAACAATGAAATTCTCTGCAGTATTGAGAAGATTGTTAGATATTACTAGACTCCTCAGATAGTTTTGTGTTAATTTTTCAAATTAAAAGGTAACAAAACTCTTTCTTGGCATTTGTGGCAGTGTTTTCCCAGTAGTTCTGTATTCTACAGAGTAGCAGTCAGGTTAATGCAAAAATGTGGACTTTTTGTGCAGCACCTACTGTTTTTCCTATGAGAAATGTGCATGTGTATACATTTCAAAATTCAGTTACACAAAATAAAACCTTATTTTGATAACTTGATGATTCAATTATCTAAACAATTTCTAGATAAATAAAACCAAAAATATCATTAGAATTTTAAGTTTTTTGTAGTTAATAACATTTTTAACAACGGTTAATAATGTTAAATTATTTACTATTATTTTGTTAATTTTGTTAGATTTTAACATTTTTATTTTTATGCAAAATTTTAAATAGGTCAATAAATGATTCCATTATGGATGTGCACTGTCCTCTTTTAGGGATTATTGCCAAATTTTTTTTTCCCCTTTAACATAAATTGTCTGTATTATTGGTTTCAGTATAATTTAATATCACTGAGGAAATTTTTATTTATGTTAAAAATCTTTTGTTTTTATTGACAAATACTTGCTAATGGTTTTTCTTCTCTTGCTGAAAACTTCTTTGTGAATGGTAAGTTCCTTTTTGCCCCCGACCCCAAAGGCTTGGATTGGATTGGCCTGTTGAGTTTCCTCTTCTTTTTTCTTTTTCCCCCCCCCCTTTGTGGATTACTTTTTGGCATAAAACCAGAGACTTTTGATTAGTCAACTTATTTCTACCTTTTCTAACTGTTGTCATTGGCTTTCCCAGCTCCAGTTTTCATAGCTGGCATTTACTCTGTTCAATTCTTTAGTGATTTTCAGATTTTGCTAACATTATTCATTATTCCAAATCTTGGATTTTTTTTTTTTTTTTAAGATATGCAGTATAAATTTTACATTTAAAAATATATAAAAATATTTGAAGATTTAATATCTTATGGTAAATATCCCCACTTTAGTAAATTAATTATTTATAAGGGTCACAATAGAAGCTGATCATTTTAGTATTTATTATTGTCTTCATTTTGTAAAACTTTCAAATATCAATATACTGGTACTTAACTTTACATCATAAATGTTAGAGATTTCATTTCTTTTGTTAGAATCAAATATCTAATCATCTCTCACTAGATTTCTTGTCTGAAATTCTTTATGAGAAATGTATTTGATCTTTTGAGAAAAGAACTAATTATTGCTTCAAAAATAGTTTCTATAAACTCCATTCTCTTTGAAGAGAAAGAAAAAAAAAAAATCAAAATTCTCTGGAAATGATTTGGGTTATAATTTCCTTTCTTGCTAGACTGATTGACAAGTGGTTGACTCTTTTTCACAAAATTTCATCAGCTATACCATCCAAACTTTTTTAATGCTACTTTTGACCTTCATACAATTTGCTAATACCAACTGCGTGAAGTATCCTGTTTTTGTCCCCAATGTTTACTTATTCCTGTTGACACACCTTTTGATTGAGTTTTGATTATTTTGCATGTTGAGTGATTAGAATGAGAGAATTTCACTTAGTTTATCATCTTTTGTGGTCACTTAGACGTTTTTATCTTGTAAGAATTTTTTATCTAATTAAATTTGATTTACATTTATTGAATGGATAATGTATTTTGCAAGCAGTGGAATTTCATTGAGTAAAATTCAACCTATCTATGACTTGTATTTTTTCTATGATTCAATCTTATTATGTTTTTTTCTGTAGTTAAACTTTCTAGTTTCTCTAAATGAACAAAATTTTTCTTTTGCTTTTATTTTCTAAATCTGTCTTATTTATGCAATACTTGTTTAAAAAAATAGAAACCCTGTCGTGATATGTTATTTTCTTCATGTTCTATTGTAAATTGCTTTTAAAATACTCACTATACAAATATTGAGTGAACTTTGGTTTAATTAGCAGATTGATATATTTAGTAAGTAATGAGAAATTTATTATAATACTGGTGACTGTATACTTTTTATTTTTGAATTTTTTTTGTTGAAATATTTACTAAGGTAAATAGGTATTGTATCTTTAAAAATACAGTTAAAAAATGCATTAATTTCTTATAAGAGAATAGTAAGAGGCAACAAATATAAGTTCTATATTCATTGTTTATTTTTTTGTGGTTGCTGATGCAGATAGAATAGAGGTCTGTTGTTGCAGCTCCATTATATTCTTCATCTTCCACTCTATATTCTTCCATAAATTAAATATATCTAATATTATACGAGAGTATTAATCGTGTATGAACATTAATATGAAAGTAATTTTAAAATAGCTTATTTTTGGTCTCTTCAAATTAGTTTCTTTTTTTATTACTTCATATTCTTTTCACACAGTAATGAAAGAAATTGTCACTTTCTTTTTCAATCTTTTTAACGGGTTATCTCTCTTATATTGGTTTCATATCTCTTGATTAGTCATAAATGGGATTGAACTTAAAAAAAAAAATATGGTTTTAACCCTTTAGCATTCAACATGCTCAAACCCAATCTGTAAGTATTGACTCTCAAAGTATCACTATTTGTATAACTTCCTGCATTATTTATGATGATGTCATATATTATGGCAGGCTGAACATTAAGAGCCAATATTTATAGGGCAGGTTTGGGTTATGGTGGATGAGGAAAAAATGTGTGTGTGTTTTTTTTTTTTTGTTTTTTTTTTTTGTTTTTTGTAAAAATTGTATACATTAAAATATCAAGGGTGATATTGATTTTAAAAATAAATTTCTGGAAGAGATAAAATAAGAGATTGAGTGAAGCAAGTACATGTGTCTTTTTTATCAGTAGGCTATATACTTATAGATGGACCTACATTTATTATATACAGTGACGTGGAAAACGTCATGGGATAGGTACCTGGCACAGTAAAGTGCAGCAATTTGATGTTGCATTGATTCTACAAGTGGTTGGAATACCCCCAGAGAGATGTTGAGCCATGCAGTCTAGGTCAGTCAGTCATGTGCCATATGTGATACACACATAGGCATTCATGTATCTTTTGATACATGACTGACAAGGTTGATTTTTTTTTTTTCCCTGCAGTAGGTTGCCATTTCTTTCTGCAGTAGACCAGTTGCCATCCAAGGCTATAGAACCCAGTTTGTCCTGCTATTTACCCATAGCAGGGGGGAGAAGAGGATTCACCTCCTTTCTCAAGGGTATTAGCATGTAAGTGAATGTAATGGATTAGACTGGAATTCAAACTAGTCATTCTGATTCCTCAATCTGAGCTGCTATCCATTACTCCACCATATAACTCCTGATATCTGTAGGTGCAGGATCTTCTGTGCAAAGAGATCTTTACATGTCTCAAATGCTTCATTGTGCTCATGTCAGGCAAACCTGGTAGCTCCACTCTTTGTCAGAAATTTTCAGAATACTCCTCAAGCCAATTTGGGACAACTTGGGCCTGATATCATTTGGCATTATCCTGCTATAATAACCTATCAATGTTTGGATACATGAATTCCTTGAATGGGTGCAAATGATCGTAGTGATGTGATAATTGACATATTTAAGCAGGTCAGCAAACTCGGCTCATACCATGTGAACATTTACCATACCATTGTTGAATCACCACTAGCCTTCATGGTACCTTATTGTCAACTGTCCTCATGAGGTCTGTACCACAGTTGGAACCATGTCTCATCCCAAGTGAGGTGTCCTGGTAGGTCTTCTGCTCCCTTATCTTATGGAAGCTAAAGGATGCTGAACTGACCTCTGATGGCATACGTTAGGTATCTCCTGCATTGGATGTGATTTAAACCAGTGTCACTTGTCTGTTACTGCAGTGAATTCCAACCAAATACCTTGTGGGATACTCGATAGCATATCTGACAGCATAGACAAGGCCCTCTCTCTCCACCCGTTTGCTCACATATTCGTGTTTGGTGACTTTAACCAGCCATTGTCTTGAAGAAATGCGCGCCTGAGCTAGCGCCCGCCCTCTCTAAACTATATAATTACTGCCTCAAGGAATCCTGTTTTCCTGACTGCTGGAAGTCCTCATCCATTTTTCCTGTCTTTAAGAATTCTGGAGACCCCTCTGACCCCTCTAATTACCATCCTATTAGTCTCCTGCCCCTCTTCGGCAAAGTCTTCGAAGCCCCAATCAACGCCGAAATGGTTAACCACCTTACCTCACACGACCTGCTCTCAGACAAGCAATATGGTTTCCGCTATGCCCGATCTACAGCTGATCTGCTTATGGCCATCACTGAAACCATCTACCAAGCCCTTCAAAATAACGGTGAGGCTCGTGCCGTGGCCCTAGACATCTCCAAAGCGTTTGATAGGGTTTGGCATGCCGGCCTTCTTTGCAAGCTCCAGGGTTATGGTATTACAGGTCGATTGTTTGACTTAATACAATCATTCCTGTCAAACCGTGAATTGAAGGTCATTCTCAACGGATTCTCCTCCAGTTCCTATCCCACGAACGCAGGTGTTCCTCAAGGCTCCATCCTTGGCCCCACTCTATTCCTTATTTTCATCAATGACCTTCCTGACACCATAGATTCTCAAATTACATCTACGCTGACGACACTACAATTTACTCCTGCCTCGAAAACAA